GCTCGAATTATCCGATCTGCCACCGGTTGAGCCAAGAAATGCCGTTCGTCTCGGTTAGAGACGTACGGAGATATTTGATTTGATCCAACAGATTCCATTATTTTGATAATTCAGTTATGGCAGTTGAAGATTATGCGATATTTATTACATGTTGTGTATAAAGGTATAGTTACTTATACACACGTTAATGTATATGTGTGAAGATTCTTTGTATGGAACGATGGCACACGTGTGGAATAACGGCGACGTGTAGAGATAAACAAAGACGGCGTTAGACGGAAGGCAAAGTTCTATCTCATTCGGTTTAACGTAGACCAAATTAAATTGATTTTTTAAAAACCAAAATAGTTGTCGTGTTGTTTTCTGGAAGCAGTGTTGCACAGCATGCCATTTCTTTTTGTTTCTTAACGACGTCGTTTTTGGTTAAACCTCCGTAAAAACCCCTCTTCTTGCTCGTACTTAACCTAGAAATCAGCTTCTCCACATTCGTTTCGTTATCGGTAAAATGGCTTCTCGATGTCGATCTTTGTCCAAACCAGCGTTTTCTGTGTTTAGATCTGTAATGAACAAGCCATCTCTCCGACCCAAATCGGCTTCGTCATTTTTCGGCGTCTCTCCTTCGCCTGGACTTGTTAGGTTAACCTTCCTCTCTCAATTTCTCAAATTTGAGTCATGGGTTTCTTCGTATGATGTAATTAGTAAAGGGTCTGTTTTTGTTTTGACTTTTTCAGGCCGATTGCTCAGTTGGGTTCGCTTCAATCGTTGCTTCCATTTCATAGTGCGGTGTCTTCTGCTAGGCTGACTTCGTGCCTCGGTATCGATTCGAAGAATTCTAGGTCATTGTCTCAGGGTATGATCTGCAGTGCGAATCCAGGAGTTTGATATTCTTCAAATGTTTTGTGTTTAGTATCTCTGTAAGCAACTCTTTGATCTCGTATATCTACGAACTTACATGTTGTTTACTCTTCTTATCAAATTAGAGCTATCTTTCTCCTATTTCTCGCCCGATCTTCCCAATACCCACCAGAATCTGTAACAGTTTATTACCGAATGCCTTTGGAGATTGCGTTAGTTGAATAATTTTGTGCAATACCAATCTTTTCAAAACCGTTTATTGACATTGAATTCAGTGCATTGTCATAGATAGCTGAATTTCAGGTTATTGAACTGTCATGCTCCACATTGGTTTGATCCACCTTAGCTATTCCTTTCACACATTGTGCAATTTCACCAGGGCTGTTGCGGTTTTCCGAGTTTTCGTCTAGTGTACCAGTCCTTTTTTTGAACTATTAGTGCTTGTAGAGACTTAGGTTCTTTGTTCACATAAACACAAATAGGTTCCGGCGTTTGAAAGAGTTGTTTTGGCATGAGAATCTTGTATTTGGCTTGAAGATGAAAGATGCTATATTGGTCCTGTTCTTTCTTCATGTTTCCTTTCTTTGAATTTCTTGTAGTATATTGAATTATTGATTGAAAGCAACTGAAACAAGTATGTTTTGATGGCCAATGTGCTAATGTAGTTTGATGTCTCTCATGATTCTTGCAGAGCTTGGGTTAAGTGTGCCTCGATAAGAGACCAGACTCGAAGAAATTGGATTTGCTTGAGTACAAATCCCCCACAGTTTTTGCTTTGCTGGTCTAATTCAGTCACTCAGATCAGTTTCTGTTTTTTTTTTTCCTGGGTGATGAACACTCTCTCATTTCGTTTTATCCAATGAAGTTAACAATTTCAATTGCAATCAATAATAGTCTCTTGTATGTGTCATACTGTCATTGATGTTCCTGAATTATTCTTCTAAGCCATGGTTTTTTTTGGTATTCGATTATTAAAATTTTCATTTCCTTTTCAAAACGAGAAAATGTATATGTATAATATTAAAAAATCTAGTGGTCGTATATATAAGAAATGATTTTTGCAGTGTGAAAAATGAAAATTGAGCCTACACTTGTGATGCCCAAAAAAATGCAAAATTTCATTCTTAGCAGATAAACGACGTGCCGTTTTATTACCATGTAAAACGACGTGACGTCTGTTTGTGTGTTTCAAACAAACGTTTCTTTACGTCTCACCAGACTCGTAGCTTAATTTGCAGCTCTTGAACACGGAGATTCGCCGGAAAGATCAAAAATGGAGAAGAAGCGTGAAGGAGTACTCGAAGCAATGAGTCGGATCGTATCAGATCCTTACTATTTTCTCCATTTCATGGCCTTCTTCTCTTACCTTCCGATTCGCAATTCCGCCTCACAGTACACTTCTCATCGACTCTTGGATAGAGAAATCCAAGCATTTCTAGCTTTTCTTATGTTTTCCGCTATTAAGGTTTGAGTTATCTCTTCATATTGATTCGGATTTGCTTAATTCTCTTTTACTTCTTTGCTTAATCGATTGTTCGAAATCGTTTGTAGATGGTGAGGGAAGAAACATGGGAGGCTTTCGTTGCTGATAGTTTGCTCTATGCTAAAGTAAACGCTTGATTCGATTCAAAAATTGATTTGTCACTCACTTCATGTGAAATCTGCTAATATACACATTTTGATTGCCCAGATCTTTCTCATTGCGGTTTCGTTGATTATGGATTATCGAGTAGCGATCTGGTTTAGTGTCATATTTTCAGGTAAAGAAAAGAGCTTTTGAGGTCAATTTCTATCTGGGAGATGCAGATTTGAATTTTGATCTAAACCCTTTTAATCTTTCTAACTTTGATTTGAATGTTTCGTTTTGCAGTCATATATCTTTTAGCTCAACAACCAGCATTTAGTAAATTAGGTATGTGAAAGAGTTAAAGTTTCTTGCTTTCTGCGAATTTTTGGAATCAAAAGTTGCGTTCTTGTAAAGTTGCTTAAACGAATTTGCAGGAACTGCGAAGAAGCTAACACCAATGCAGTTGGAAGATTTGTTATCTGAAGGGAACACAACAAAGTACTGGTTGGTATGTGCAACTTGCTCTATCTACTACTAGATAATGTTGTTGCTCTTTCCAAATTAGTGAGGTTGTGATTGTAGATGGATACATGTTTGAACAAACCAATGAGTAGTTTTTGGGTAAAGAAAATGACTTTTATTTCCTTAGAGCAGAGCGTTCACTCAGATTCCAATACAGAAATGATGTTTTATGAAGCTAGATGTTACGTATAGCCTCCCCGTACTATCATGACATCAAATTTTCTCCTACTTTTTTGTTTAGTTGTCATTCATTTAAGAAACAGAACTGATCTGCAATTATATGAAATTGTAAAATATGGATCAACAGAGTACTGTTGTAGCGGCTTTTGTGATGATGTGCATTTCACACCTTTTGTAGATAGAGTTCTTTGCATGTAGTTCATCCAAGTGTGTCCGTTCAAGCCGCTGTTTTCCCGAGCTCTCCATCACGTAAGCTTTGTGTAAGAAAACACCCCCATATCACTGCTCATCGTAATAGACATGTTTACTCATCTTCCACTTCTTCAGGTACTCAAATAGTCTTTTGACTTTCGGAACCATCGATCTTGGACTTTTTCCCAATACTGCAGCAAAGTTTGGAATATCTCTTGCCGGTATCAGTCTTTCTCGAACTCATTTATTGCACAAACTCGAAAACAGATTGAGTCTCTCTTGTGTAAGCAACTGATGTGTTGTGTAACATATAAATATATATATAGGTGGAATGTCTCAGCTTCCCACATACATATTGTATGAAAAGGGTGTCGAAGTTTCTCGGTTCCCAGACTTTTATGTTGACGCTGCACCTTCTTTACCCATAACCAAGGTTACATGCGCTTCTTTACATCTATAAAGCCGGTTCTTATAGATGAACCGCGAATTTTCAGTTCTTCTCTTAAAGGCTTTAATGAAATCCTTTTATTTGTTGATGTTGCAGAAACTTCTGTGTCAACATTTTGAGCTTGATCGGCTTCTGCTTGACTACATAAACGGATCATAGCTGAAAACGATACACGACTTTCTGGCGTCTTGTGCAAAGAGCAGTGTGAAGTGTGAACACATCAATGCACCATCGGACTATTAGAGGCAACCATTTCAGTCTCTCTCAGTCGTTTTTTGGTGAGGCTCGCTAGAGAAAACGATAGATTTATATTTTAGTGTTATAGAGAGAGAGATTCTTGTTGAATTTTATGGGGCTTGAAATTTCGACGAAGAATTCTTGTATTTGATGGTAACGAAATCTCAATGTATTCTTGACTCTTTAGTGCCTTTCGTTTTCATGACTTTTTGAGGCTTGTTGGGATTCCTACGTCTCTTATGTGTTGTTGGTTTCATGTGCTTACGACAAGCATTTATACCCCTATGTGCATGTGTGGGCTAAAATTAACTTCAAATAAGAAAGAAATTTGAACAACAAAGATTTGAAAGAAAATCAACATTACGTTTTTAGAAAATAGTAATCGAAGTATACAGCTAACATAGATTATCAAGCTAGAAAACTTGTTTATAAGAATCATGCTTTTTTGCACACAAAAAAAAAAAAAATGGTAATACAATGAACAATTTTGGCAAAAAGAACATATGATAATTATATGAATCAATGATGATGGATCGTGCGGCTTTCGTTTTCCAAAAATCGTGTGTATCATATTTTACCTTCCATTTATTTGTTTCAAAACATTAAAAAAATAAAATAATATGTAGTGAAAGCAACAACTAGTAAGTAAGAGAAAAAAAGCATCGTTATGTTTAAAAGACGTGCGATTATGAGATGTATAAACAAGAAAGATGAATCACTTGGTCAAGATAATGCCTAGTGGCAAACTCTAGGCAACAAGTTCCAATGCTTCCAAAAATCCCAACTAAGTCATCATTTAATCATTGATTTAATCTTTGGGTCGGCCTAATCGTTTTATTTACACACTAGACAGAAAAAAATATTTGTTGAAATCTAGTATATAATTAATTTCACATATGATGACATTTAATTAAGCATTTCTATGTAACGAGTAATGACATTTAATTAAGCATTTTCTTCAAAACGCGGTGTTTGAACCGAGCTTACGAAGTAATTTAATGTCGAAACGGACCAATTTCCCAACTGTCAAACACATCAACGGTTACTAACCTACCTCTCGCGAAAAAAACACCAAATCCACACCGTCCAATATCTCGTTAGCTCAAAAACCAATAAAATACAGCCACGTGTGTCACCCACACGGTCCCTTAGCTACACCAGATTAAATAAAAATAAAAACCTTGTCGTCTTTTTGACTCATTGAAGTATTCACCCCTATAAATGCATTTCTTCTGACATTTTCTCTTAACACGTTTCCTTCTTCTTCTTCTCCAA